TTTTTACTATTTTAAAAATATGTAATATATTAATTAAAATAAATATTAATATATTTTATATATTTTTAAAATAAAGAGGAGAAACCTACAACTACATCCCAACTTTCTTAAATGAAACTTCAATTTAGCTTATCCATTTCAAAAATAAGTACTTATGAATCCATTTAACCCATCTTATTTTAGCTCATATATAACCTTTTTTTTTTTTTTGAACAACTATAATTTTTGAAAAAGGAGAAAGAAAAATGGGGCTAAGAAGTGTAAGAACCCTCAAAACTTAGCCGAATGAGTGACAAGCAATACCAATTCCACCCATCCCGCAGGCCAACTTCTCATATGCAACACCTTTGAACTAGAGCAATTGAGGAGGAATGGGGTGGGATTACAAATGTGACCCGTGGGGACCCACACCTAGTGCTAATTTATGGAGTAAAGTGGCTTTTGCCACTTGCTGCCCCATTTGGCTGGCTAGCTCATATGTAACTTGCAAAAGACACGGTCTAACCCCAACCAAACCGAACTCTTGTTTCTCATGTTGATCACGTAACAATCCAATTTCCTTTTTGTCTTTGACCTTCTTAGATTATAATTTTCAAACTCTAATCCCACATTTTGCCCCACAGCCATTTGAAACCATAGTATTAACAGTGCTGTCGATTTAGGCAGTGAATATTCCCCCTTGACATCCAAGTAGTCGTTTTGCTTTCTATCATTCCTGTGCAAACAGTGAAATCCATCTGAGAACATAACACTAACATCACCATCGAAGTAGTGAATATTTCCCCCATGGCATACAAGTATCTATTATTCCCATGCAAATAGGGAACACATCACTACTTTTGACCTCTTAATGGGTTTGTGATCAAGGAGAATGAGTTTTTTATTGGTTAGGATTTGTATTGCTAACTAGACAGGAAATATACTCATGAAGAAGTTCAAAATTATCGATGTATATCTAGTAAATCTTTCACTCAAAACTCAAAAATGGAAACTTGTGCAACGCCATGTTATAGAAGCAAATATAATGTGTCTCCATGAGTATACTTTGAAGATTAACCACATATGAGGACATAATGATTAATTTCTAATAATATCTTATAAATATATAAAATTTTCTTTGCTATCAATTTTTAATTTATGAAATCTCCTTTTCTATTTTTGATCTTTATCACAATTTTTAGAGCAAATAATGCTCACAAATATGAGTTTAAAGCTAGCATGTCATATAATTTTGATTGATTTTTAATTGGCCAAATGATGTAAATGTTAGCCATGTTCACTTGTGAGAGAGTAGGCATTGCAATTTAAACACTTCAAAACCGAAACATTTTGTAATTCGACTAATGGATTAAGCGTCGATAATTTAGTCTAGTCCATTAAAATGTTGGATGTAAGCTCGGCCCGTGAGCTGATTCGGTCCATTAGAAGCCTATATTTAGTCCAGTCCATTAGGGTGCAATGTTTTCCTGTTTTTGCCTTTGCCTTTGCCTTTGGCATATTCAAGACGTGGGGGGATAGAATGATGGCTAATAAACTAGACTACAGAACAAAACAAGACAAACTACTTCATGTATCATGACATGAATACTCTTCTTTCAAGCTTTTTAATTGGGTTTAATGCTATACTAAATTCACAGATTTTGGTGTAAATATGTTGAAGTAAGTTTTAATTTGAATGAATCAGTCTTTCTTATTGAAAAGAATTTACCAATTCTAATTTGGTTTGTGCAAGGTCTGTGGGCATTGTGTTATAGAAAATTATTGTGTTTGAGAGGTTCTGTTTTTGGTCTGGATATTTTAGGAAAAAAGACTATTGCATTAAGAGGCTTTGATTTGATAGTTGTGGACTTACCGGAGGAGGAAGGGTGACGAGTGGATGGAGATCAATCTAGGATTTTTGTCGAATGTGTTTCTTTTGTTTTAACCCAACCAAGTAGACCCAGAAAGGATTCATGTGTTTTTGTAGTAAATCAAGTTTGAGATTTTTTTTCTTTTTTGAAGACAATTTCTAAAATTCTTGTATTGTATTTCTTATTAACTGAAAATATTTTTAATTAACTTATTTTCTTAATAATTGTTAAATGCAAAAAATATAAAAAAATAATTTTTGAAAACTACTTGTATTGATTGTTTTCTCAATATATACCGAAGTTGTATCTTCTCTTACTCTAAAAAAAAATTATGTTTCTGATATAATAATTGACTGAATAGTTTTGACATGATTTACCCTCATTCCATTTTATTTGACCTTTCTGGTCAACACAAACATGTCCATTTCTATCTTTGAATTTCATATCATATTTGATTTCGTTTTTCTTGTTTAATTCTGTTGAGGTGGCTGGAGGAATTAAAAGTTATTACGTTGGAATGGAATACACAGATATATAGATTGCTGCAAACATCCTTACAAATTGAGTTCAAAGGGATACATTTAAAAAAAAAAAAGAGAGAGAGAGACTTCAAAGGAATACAACCCACGCAAATTTTTAGTAGAACACATAACATGACACGACATCACAATTTAAACAGGGAAACAATTTTGTGTGAGCAGCTAGCTTCACTTATTGCAAACTCTGGAATGACGAACATAACCATGAAGATATGCGTTGGGCATAACTTTCGCTATTGATACCCCAATATGCCTCTGCCTTCACCATGTAGAGAGGAGCTTTTCCATACTTAATTCTATAGATAAGAAAGAACCGACATAACACTTGTAAGCACAGTAAGTAGAAGCAAGAAAATCCCAGCGAAAAGGGAAATTACCGCCCATGGATTGTGAAAGTAATTGTGCCTTAAATTTGCCATCCACTGGTTCCACTTTTTGTCACAATGCTCATTCACACTGTTGAAGGTACCATCATAAGAGAAGTGGTCTTTTGAGATCACCACAGAGTCCCTGAGTTTGTTAAACATGTTTGCGACCACATCATGATCACCTAACCAGTTATCAATAACTCCATTGTGAGAAAGTAATTGAACATCCTTCCAAGTGTTGATGAGGCGATCCATGAATGTAATATAATCCGTTAAACATTTTGAAGATGCGCCCTTGAAGCACTGTTCATAAGCAACTAAATTTCGAAGAATGGACTCTGTATGGTCGTCGATTCTTAAAGTTGGAATTGACATTACCCCCTTTTCAAACTTTATATCAAACAATCTCCCCTCGTCTTTTTTAAAATCCACTTTTTTAAAAATTATTCCTGCCTCTCTGAGCCCTGTTGCTGAACGTATGAATCGCCATTCCTTCTCACTATCTGTTGCCTTAAGTAATGGAAACCTTAATTCCTCCGAAGGCTCAGGTGGTGAACTCCGTACTACCCCTGATGAACAGAGATTAAGCTTTGCCTCACGCGAAAAAGTCCAGCAATCATGAACTAAGCCCAGTAGATGCTTGATGTCTTCTTTTTTTTTTTGTTCGAGGAAATGCTTGATGTCTTCTTGATTCTTGGGTCCTCCAAAAAACCCTGGAATTATTTTAGAGAAGAATTTAATAGCCATATCCATGAAGGGATCATTTGACATCCCAGTCATGTCCAACAACAGTAAAAGTATAAAGAAAGGAAGTTGATTTTCAACTAGCAGCAAATCGAGCGTTGCTCTACTCAAAAGAATATCTGTATGGGGAGCCTCGTTTTTCTCTCGAATAAGCTGAATGATAAAGCATCCATCAAGGAGCATCATTTCTACAAATTTTTCTCCACCATTAAGATTCAAAGGTTCTGAATAACATTCGCGAGCTTCTTTTTCCTTGACTTTCAAGGCCTTCAGATAATCCTCCAGACTAACTTCTGGTCTTCGCTCAAGTAGCCTTTTTAGATAAAACATTTTGTACGCCTCCATTTTCTTCAACTGATCTTTACCATGGTGGTAAGGGCCAATGGAGACCACTTGAGGTTCATACGACTGTTTACTTATCCGGCGCAAATGTTTAGGCACTTTGAAAATACTACGGCTTAACCAGTCTGGCGAAACATCACCTTCAAGCTCTTGAAGTAGTCCAGTGTGAAGAGGAGTTCTGTCTGTTCCCCCTGCCATCACCTGCTCAACGTAAAAAAAATCAAATGATTGGGGGATGGGGTGAATGAGAAACAGATTCGCATTTTAAGTTAAATAAATATATCCATAGTCTAAGAACATTAAAGCAGCTCCGTTAATCTTTTCAAGGGTTAAATCAAGGGACTACTATTAAATTTTGTTCATTAACATCCTTGAACTATAAAATAATAGCCATTAGAGTCCTTTAAGGGTGTGTTTGAAGTGAAGGAAAGTTATTTTTTCCCTTCACTCAAAAGCTTTTATGGTCATTATAGTATTTTTACACCTCAATATATAACAAATAAAGGGCAAAGTTGACATTTTAAGTTTCTACATTTCCGAACATAATTCCTAATAAGAAAATATTTTCCCCCAAATTCTCAATATAGGACCCACTTCACACCTATCTCCCAACTTTCCTAAATAACTAAATATCAACTTACAGTATTTTTAACAAAATAACTTCCAGTATATTAATTTTAGACTTTTCTCCTACAAGACTTTTTCATCTAATTTTCTAATCTAGGAACAAACTAGGTTCCACGGCTGGTTTATACACAAACCATGCTTCGAGTTCTACTTAAGGATCATCCTCCAAAGGACTCTGACTCAGTAAACTTAAGTGCAACATACTGGACTTCCCAAATACTTCTAAAAAAATCTTGGAGTAATCCAGAAAATTATCCTTTCCATTGATAAATTGATAGTTTACCTGAAATCTATCAACAAAAAATAAATAAATAATAAAGAAAAGTAGTAATTCTCCAGCGGAAAACATCAGATCCCCTTCCATAGTTCCATGTAAAACAGAAAATAAATAAATAACATGTAATTAACAAGGAAAATAATTGATACATTTTTCATTTTAAAAATTTATATAAGAGGGGTAAAAATAAAAAATTAAAGTCACTAGTTACTATACAAAATTGTAGAGTTTTAGTTTAAATTAGTAATATTTTTCTCAATTGAGTTAAAGTTATTATTATAACTTCTTAATCATAGACCTTTTTTTAATGATATTTTCGTATTTTTAATTCTCACCTAAAAATAATTAAAAGCATATCCAAAATAGTAGTTCAAAATACAATCCAAACAACAATTGTCCAAACAAAAAACAATTAAAGTACAATTTATATAGGACAGTGATTGGTACATCCTGACAGTGATTGGTACATCCTGACAGTGATTGGTACACTTTCTGGTTCAATACACTGTATAACATACTCATTAAAAAATTATTATTTTGTAGTCTAAAATTAAAAACAAACAAATTTAATGATACAATTATACACAAATGATACAGGAACCGACTGAATTAACTGTATTTATATTATATTTTTAATGACTAAACCAAGAATGTGTCCGAAAATGTGTTAAACTAAGGGTGTACCAATCATTTTTTATTTATATATTATCATTTAATTAATTTTTATTTTTTTATTTTCATATTTCTCATCTTTTTCAACATCATAAAGTAGTATATGATGAATAAAGAGATAAGAAAATGAGTGATATGAAATAAAATATTTAAGAAAAAGATGATTTAAAAATAAAAGTTAAGTATTAAAAATTAAAAAGAGTTGAGGATCAAAATAAATTTAAGCAAAAAATAAAATACTAATATATTAACTTTTCAAAAGTTTGGGGGTCTGTGCCTCTCAGACCAGTTGACTTATTTAACATATTCATTAATATTCATTGATTTAACCATTAAAATTTATAATTTTAAGTTTTTTTTTACTTTAAATTTAAATTTAAAAACAATAAATTTTCAATAAATATATTATAAACTGTATTAATTAAATTAGAGAGTGTCTAAATCAATATCTAACTAACAAATAAATTCTATTGGGGGAAAATGAAAATGAAAGCAGTACTTCAAATTTGCAAATCTAAAATGCATGCATGCTTTAGAAAAAAAAAATCAAATCAAATAGTATTTCAGTTCTACAAATCATATAACAGTAAACAAACAGAAACTTCAACAATTTCCGAGCTCATAAAACCAAATCTAGAGTCGAAACAAGGAGAAATAAAGCAAAAATTCAAGCGAACTTGCGGGAGTTATTACTGAAACAGATTGAAAGAAGAGAATTAAAGCAATAAATTCTCCAAGGAAATCAAACTTACTGTTCTTGAATTGCAGAAGAGGAAACGAAATTGATATTTTAAAAATTTATGTCTGCTCCACCGGAGATGTTGCTTCTCTGTAGTATGAGTAAGAAGAAGGAGAACTATTTTCTGTGATTTGCTTTTGAAGGAATTCCTTCGGTTTTATATAGAGGCGTGAGAAAGACCAGGCGGCCGTCGTTTTTTCTTGCTCCCACTTATCTTCAAATAACGACGCAATTTTTAAAAATTAATTAAGTCTCCATTATGGTGGTAGGTTTCGATTTTTGTTTTTTTGTTTCCATAAATTTTATAATTTAAAAAAACTTATTTACTTTTACATGTTTTTGCAATATATATTATGATTATTAAAGAAATAATAAAAAAATAATTTTAATATAATTAAATAAATTAATATTTTTAGTTGTTAGTGTTAAGATTTGTTTTAAATAAATTTTTAATTTTAATTTTCAATAATTTCAAAATTTATAAAAAGCAAAAATAAAAACTTAAAACTACAACTATATTAAATGAAGTTTAAAAAGAAACTCAATTATTAATTTAATAATAATTAAATTAATCATTTCAAAATGTCGCTTGTACTCTATTAATTAAATCATAATTTTTTGCCCTAAAAAAATGACTCTGCCATTTTAGTAATGAAGACAATTACGATTCAAAAGTTTTTCTACTTGAAAGTTTCTAATCATAAATAGTACATCGAACATTCAGTTAATTTTTTTTAAAAATTTTCAAAGGTCATATATTTAATTAGATTGAAAGATAGGAATCTTAATTAGTAAAGGAAAAAATTTATATCATTAATTCAAAATTTTAAAAAAATTATATCTTCATTTGTACTGCTCCTTTTATCATGGAATAATAGATATTTTTGCTTTTATTTTAGGTTTAAGGATTTGGTGACAATTTTTATTTTTTTGATTATTTTACCCTTAAAAAAATAAAAATAACGGGATAAATAAAATTAAGAAAAAGTTATAAGGTTAAAGTAAAAAAAATATTTGTCTCTCTTGAAATATGAAAAAATGAATATTATTCTAAAATAAAGTCAAAGTAAAATTTTTTTTATTAATTATTCTTTAAATTTTTGGTTTGGAGATGACCGCCATCCACCTACATTCAGCTTAACCTTCCTAAAAGTCTTCAAATTATTTGTTTTTGAGATAATTAGCCCCTCAATATATACTTTGTGTATTTTAATTTATAAACTTCATGCTATTATTATAATTGACCTAAAATAAATAAAATCTTATTATGTGAGTTACGTGATTATCATTATTTTATTATCTTATCATTGTTAATGTCATATTAACATAAATATAATTCACTTGAACCCATATATGAAGGTGGGAAAAATTTCATCCATGAGGTGAGATTTTTTGTCATCCATAGATTTAAGTGACCATATTTATACTAGTATAACATTAACAAGGATATGGCAATGGAGCAATGATGATCATGTGACTTATGTGATAGGATTTTATCTATTTTAAGTTAATTAAAGTAATCATATAAAGTTTATAGATTAAAGTAAACAAAATATATGATGCATATGGATTAATGAGCATTGATGGACTTGGATGCAAGCACACATGATCTCGTAGTAGAAATGGAAGAATCACCCTGCGTGAAAGACTTGATAGAGCCCTCTTATATTATCAACTTTCTGCTTACTGCTTTTAAGAAAAAAAAAAATTAAAAAACTATATTTAACCCAACTTCACCTGTTGGAGTAGAATAAAATTTTGAAAACTGGGCGAAGCTAGCACTTAATTTAACATGCATAGATATCATTTGGAAATATGATTTATGGATAATTTTTGTGTAAATTTTTTTTATACTTTTATATATTATTTAATGACA